CACATGCAAGAAGAATGTCATTAAAAACTCTTATTAAAGCAGATTCTGTACTATGAAGAGTTTTAAAGCCTGACTGAAAAACCTCCAGAATGCCATTGTCATCTAAAAACTGTGTCAGCTGACAGTACACAATTTTCTCTAAAACCTTAGAAAGGAAAGGCAGCTTCGAAATAGGCTGATAATTAGCCAGAACAGTCGGATCAAGGCCAGGTTTTTTAAGCAGTGGCTGCACTACTGCATGTTTAAAACTAGCAGGGACCACACCTGAGGACAGACTGCTATTTATAATTGCAAGAACAGGCTGCCCTATGCTAGGTAAAATATCTTTAAAAAGTCGTGGAGGCACAGCATCCTGGGGGGAACCTGATGGCTTAATGTGGCGAACCACATCCTCTAACAGTGAGACCGTCACAGGCTCAAACTGATTGAAAGTAGCCGAGCAAGGGACTGAAATTGAAGGGTCAGAGTCAGGAGCTGTGATAAGAGCCCTGGTACTACCAACCTTTTCAATAAAGAAACGCATAAAATCATCACACACATCAGGAGAAGCTTCCAAACAGACCTTCTGAGAAATATTAAGCACAAAGTCAATGGTGTTAAATAAAACACGTGGGTTATGACTGTTTGAAGCAATGATATTTGCCAAATATTCCCTTTTTGCCTCTTTAACCGTGCTCTGGTAGAGACGCCAACTGTCTTTTAAAATCTGAAGAGTAACCTGCAGTTTATCCTTTTTCCACCTGCGTTCAACACGACGACATTCCTTCCTTGCAGCACGAGTTCTGTCATTAAACCAAGGCTCAGGTTTAATCCTGGGGTGCCTGGTTTTTAATGGAGCAACCGAGTCCAGGATGGTTTGACAGGAAGAATAGAACCAGGACCAGAGCTCTTCTGTATCAAAGTGGAGGAAGTCAGATGATTCACAGAGTTGAAGAAAAGCAGTAGAGAAATGAGTGGCAGTGGAGGGGTTAATAATCCGACAGCGCCGAGCAGCAGCGCGAGTTTTAACTGCGGTAGGTGTCAAAGTAATAGTGAATAAAACAGGCAGGTGATCCGAAAACACAGCGTCACAGATTTCCAGGTTTGTCGCAGGCAGACCGCAGGAAATTACCAGGTCCAGTGTGTGTCCATGTTCATGTGTAGGGCCTGATACGGCCTGTACCAGGTTAAAAGAGTCCAAAAGGCTTAAAAAATCCTTTACCAGAGGCTTATTTGGACAGCAAACGTGTATATTGAAGTCTCCAACAATAAGAACATGTTCATAGTTAGTTAAAATCCCAGATAAAAAATCTGAAAAGTCACTTATAAAATCCTTATTATATCTGGGGGGCCGGTAGATGACAGCACAGAAAACTGGGTTTACGTGTCTCATCTCAAAAGCCGTAAACTCAAAGCTGGGGAAAGACGTCTGTAGAAAACACTGCTTACATCTGTAATCCTGTTTGTAAACAATCGCTGTGCCTCCCCCTCTTCCCGAAGCCCGTGGTGAATTAAAATAAAAACAATCCGCTGGTAAAAGCTCAGATAGAGCACTGGACTCACCAATACTCAGCCACGTCTCCGTCACACACAGAAAATCCAGATTTTGGTGACTAAAAAAGTCCCGAAGAATAAAAGTTTTATTCACAAGCGACCTGGCGTTTACCAGGCCAATCCTAACAGGAACTTGATCCTGGGCTTCGACAGGTCGGGAAACCCGGCACAGCGGTCTCAGGTTTTGGAGACACCGTCCGCGTATGTTGAGCCGGGAAAGGCAGGGGCGGCGGTGTAAAGGGATTTCAACGCCGACCACTGGCACCAAGCAGGCATCAATGGGATCCAAGAAACGCCGAGTCACCCAGGGGCCCAGAAATGATCCTTGCGATGATCGAGTAAAAGCACAACAGTGCGTCATGTAAAACTTCAGCTTCACCAACCGGCCGCTTCGTCTACCGCGACGACGACGACGTCTCCTCCGAGAAAGCAGCACAGGAACCCGGAACAAGTGGCTCGGAATCTCCGCCAGAAGCGGGGGCAAAGATTGTCGGCCCGCAACATCGAATAACTCCTTATCCTGGACTAAAGGTTGTAGATCTATTAGTGTGTTGCGATCATACACCAGCAGAGACTCAGTTCTGTAGATGACACAGGTCAAAAATTGTATAAACAACAGAAAACGTAAGAATGACAGACGAGCAGCCATACACACGGGCGCCAAACATTTACATAAACCTGCACACATACATCAAGACACCGAACAGGCTGATAATTCATGGACCAAATCAAGCTGTGATAAGAAAAAATTTCAAGGATTAATTCAGGCTTTTTAATCATAATAAAAAAAGACCAATAATAGGATTTTTACTTTAAATTAATAAAATAAATGATATATATATATATATATATATATATATATATATATATATATATATATATATATATATATCTCAAGTATAAATAAATCATGAAATCAATAAAAAGGGGGTGATAAATAAATGCATTCAAATAATATAAATCTATAAATATAAATAAACTAAATTAAATAAAAGTGCAAATGAAACTATAGCCTTATAATCTGCAAAGCCATTGTAAAACTGCTTCAGCAGTCTCCATTTTTGCATGGCAGAACCAGAAGAATCTTTATATCTGTGACAAATGAACAATGACACAAATAATAACAACAATAAACAACAATAATACAACTCCCTTTTATCTTCACCTCTTAATGAGACACTTGGGCCTGCCTCTGAGACATAATCAGGTCCAGTCTGGGTGGAATTGGAGAAAGGCTCACTCTCAGAGTAGCCTCCAGAGTTGCTCTGAGTCTGTTTCGGGCTTTGGTCTTAGTTGTGGCCACAATGGAGAATCCTGATTCACACAGGTACGTTGTTGTGAATGGGAGAAGGAGTTTCACAGCCCTCAGTGCAAGACATGGGTACTCCTTTGAGACAGCAATCCAGAAGGAGCCCAGGTCCAGTTTGCCCCACTGCAGCTTTAAAGTGCTGTCAGTAGAAACTTCCAGAAGCTGGGATTCCAGGTGTGAGGGCAAAGCAACATCATTTACAGTGAAATCCACTGAAAATGGGTCCAAAATCCACATGTTTCCCTCTCTGGGATCCTCAGGAAAGTAGTCACCAAATTTCTCTGCCAGTTGGGAGAGGTGCTGGGAGACTGAGTCACCGATCTTCACCTGAGGGGAGTTTTCCAAAATGTCAGACAAAAGTGGAAACATGTCCATCCTCTTTTCCTGGGCCCTCTTGGTCCACAAAGCAAGTTTCCTCTTGAAAGCTTCAACTTTGTCTGCAACACAAAATATGTTGCTGTTTCTTCCTTGAAGTGAGGTGTTCAGTTGGTTCAGTAGTGAAAAAATGTCACAGAGGTAGGCAAGTTTTGCTGTGAACATTGTGTCAGCATAGTAATGTGCAAGATGAGATTTTTTCTCAGTGAGAAAAGAGAACACCTCGTTCCTCAGCTCAAACAAACGATTGAGGACCAGTCCTCTTGAGAGCCATCTCACTTCACTGTGATATAGCAGCTGGACATGATCTGCTTCTATGTCCTCACAAAGCTTAGCAAAACATCTGGAGTTCACAGCATTGCTTTTAATAAAGTTTATGGTTTTCACACTTACATCCATCACCTGGTGGAGATCTGGTGACATCTGTTTTGCTGCAAGGCTTTCACGGTGGAGAAAACAGTGTGTCCATTTAGCTTCTGGTGCACGATTAAGTATCTGTGTAATGACACCATGATGCTTGCCAGTCATTGATGCTGCACCATCACTGCACACCCCGACACAGTTCTGCCAGTCCAGGCCATTCTCAGTGAAGTAGTTATCCATGCAGCGGAAACATTCCTGAGCCGTAGTTCGTGTTGGTAGCTCTCCACAAAACAGTATGTCTTCGTGCAAACTACTGTCCCAGCGATAGCGAACAAAAACTAGCAGCAGTGCAGCATTCGTGACATCCGTGGACTCGTCTAATTGCAAAGAAAAAAATGGGCTACTTTTTATTCTTTCTGTTAGTTGATGCTGTATGTCTGAGGCCATGTCCGCGATACGATGACTCACAGTGTCGTTAGAGAGTGGGATGGTCAGCAGCTTTTTTGCGACGGCCTCTCCGATTAGCTCACGGCACATATCAACAGCGGCAGGCAGAACCAACTCCTCCGCTATGGTGAATGCTTTCTTACTCTGTGCCACACGTCTGGCTACGAGGTAGCTGGCTTTCAATGCACATTTAGAGTTGCTTGTCAGTGACACGACAGACCTTTTCTGCATCTGCATCCCAATTTCCTTCCTCCTAAAATATTCCACCGGCTTTCCCACGAGCATCGGGTGCTTGGTCTCTAGATGCCGCTGTAGTTTTGAGGGCTTGAGAGCTTCGTTGGACAGCATTAGCCCACACTCCACACACTGGGCTTTTGGCACTGCCTCTGTTCCTCCATTTACGAAACCGTATTTAATGAAGTCGAGATTGTATTTACGCACAAACTTTGTCTTTTGGGTGTGGGTGTCGGCAGGGCGTTCGTCTTCATTTTTTCTTTTTAAAATCTTATCCATTTTTGCTTATCCACAGTCTAATTCTCTGTGTATTGGCGCTTTTTAAACAACCGAGTGATGCATTACCGCCACCACATGGTCGGAAGCTCTACGCAGTCCCACGGCCCTTGCCGCCCACAGGTGCAAAACTGAAAGATTTTTGCGGCCCACAAGGGGGCGCTGGAGGCCCAACTTTGGGTCGCGGCCCTATGGTTAAGAATCACTGCTCTATAGCTTTAAGAATGAACAGGGGCATCCTTCTATTGGACTTTAGTAACATTACAAAACTGAAAGGAATTCCTTCAAAGTGGACGTTATCAGTTAATCGGATTGAACAAATTTTAAAATAACAAACCAATTATCAACAATTGTAGGTTGATTATTGATTTAAATCTCTAATAAACATCAAACTGAAGTTTGTGGTAGAAAGGTAACGAAATGTTCTGGACAAGCTCTGCGGCACAGGTGCACTTTGTCTCACCTGTACATGTCGTGTTTGACGTCAGCCCGCCGGGTCTTAGACGGTTCATACTCCTCAGGGGGCATGTAGATCACGGTGCCCTCCATCTCTGTAGGCTTTGACCCTGAACCTTTACTCACAGACAGCTGCCTCCACTTTGCCAGACCAAAGTCTGCAATCTGGAAAGAGGAAGAGGACATGAGGAGCTGACTCCTGCATCTAAAGTTAAAAACTATTCCTCCTGCTTTCATTTTCCCTCACATAGTCCCATTGTTGCAATCTTCTGAGCATTTCCCTTAGAGTTTAACAGCCAACCGGCTGCACAACTCTCACACGTACAGCCGAGCATACCTTCACGTGAAATTCCCCATCCAGCAGAATGTTCTGCGTCTTCAGGTCGTGATGTAACAGAGGTGGAGTCATGTTGTGGAGGAAGTTCACCCCCAGGGCGATCTCGTAGAGAATCCTCAGACGCAAAGGCCAGGCGAGAACGGGGTACAGCTCCTTCTGTGGGCGGAAAATGGACTAAATCAAAACCAGAATTCCTTTTATTGTTATTGTGCAAAAAAGCACAACAAAGTAAAACAAAAAATAGTAACCATCTAAGGGAGTGCAAATGAATAAATAATGAAAGAACATTGAAAAAAAAACTGGAATGTAAGAAAAATAGATAAATAAATGTGATGCTAACAGGTTCAGCTTAACTCCTCTGGACAGTTTCACTAATTCATTCCTAGAATTTCTAAAAGTAGAATGGGAGGCAGATCTTTTAGTTATCAGGCTCCTCTCCTGTGGAACCAACTACCAGTTTTAGTCCGTGAGGCAGACACCCTGTCTACTTTTAAGGCTAGGCTTAAAACTTTCCTTTTTGATAAAGCTTCTAGTTAGAGTGGCTCAGGTTATCCTGAGCTATCTCTATAGTTATGCTGCTATAGGCTTAGACTGCTGGAGGACATAGGGACCCCTTTTTCATCATTCTGCTTCATTCTATCTCTATTCTCCCACTCTGCAGAATCTGTCAGTTCTCCAATGTTCTGCTCTCTCTGCTTTTTCTTTTAGTAGCTTCGACTCGTCTCTTCCTGTTTGGCTGTGACTCCATCCTGGAGAGAAATATGAGCCGTGCTGCTTCCATCAACACCTTTGTTATAGACTAGGGATGCACGATATTGGGATTTTGGCCGATATCTGATATGCCGATATTTTAAAACTCATGTAGCCGATAACCGATACCGATGTTAAAGCTGGACAAAAATAAGTAGTCATTGAAAATATCAGTTTTGTTATCCATTTCTGACACTTTGAAAAATAATATACTCAAATATATTTTCATACGCTGATATCAAATCGATTTTTAAAAAACGCGGTATCGATCTATTTCACTTTCAAAATCTCCTGAAATTTCATCGTTCTGTTACAAACTCTCGTGATATTTTGCAAATTCTTGTGAGATTTTGTTAGTAAAATAGATCGATACCGCATCAACATATAAAAATATGGCAACATTTGGTGAATTTTCGGGGGAATTCGTAGCATAACGATGACATATAGCAATATTTCATTAGTAAAAGAGATTGATATGGTGTTTTTAAATGGCAATATATCAGCATATGAAGATATTGGGATATTTTAATGTATCAATATTTTTTCCCTCGTCTTTAGAAGTTTTTAAGTCTGTAAAAAATACGTTTTTGAGGAAGAAGAAGAAGTAGTATTTTTTTATTTTTTTTCAGACTTTAGAACTCAGAAGCTGATCAAATATCGGGTTAAATATCGGTGGGGTGGCCGATGTCCGATATTCAGTTTTAAGGCCGATACCGATAGGGGGCCGATTATATCGTGCATCCCTATTATAGACGTTTGAGATCAGCCTGTTTTTCAGAGTAGTCCTGTTTCTCTGTCTGTGACTGACTGGATGTTCTCTCTTTCATCATCTGAAATGGGAGCTGGCTCAGAGCTCGTCTGCCTGGTTGTGTGTTTCCTGGACGAGGCCACCTGTGGAACTGGTTTACAGTTTCCTTTTGTATCTATGCTTGTTTTTCTATTTCTAAGTGTGGTTCTGCTGGAGGTTTCTTCCTGTTCTAAGGGAGTTTTTCCTCTCCACTGTCGCTACAAGCATGCTTAGTGTGAGTCAATGCAATCAGCAGGTTTTCCTTCAATAGAAAACTTTGAATCAATTTGACTGGATGATGTTGTTGAACTGTAAAGTGTTGTGAACTGGCGTTTTATAAATAAACTGAACAGAAACTGAATTCAGCGTTTCACTTTTATTATCAGTTTCATTAACAGGAAAGCCAAGACAAAACTACCTTGTTTACAACAAATGATAAATAAAGGAATTGCTGCTGGAGCAGGAGAACAAAAACTCCAGCCAACACAAAGAAATCGGAACCTATAAACCAACCAGCTAAGCACGGGACGTTCAGTAACTTCGTGCGGTTGGTTTATGTGGTACGAGAAGCAGAAGAGTTGTGAACTGTGTGAAGCAGAATGCCCGCTGTTTGCAGGAAGCCAACCTCTAGAAAAGCAGACAGTGACACTGAGCTCAGCGATGCAGTGCAGTTACCTCATGCAGCAGCTGATCCAGAGAGCCGTTGCTCATGAACTCTGTAACTATGCAGAAGAACTCTGGCTCGTTGCAGACGCCAAAAATCTGGATGATGTGGTTGAACCGGGCTTTGTGAAGCACCTCAGCTTCCTTCAGCAGGCAGTTCCTCTCTCTGAAACACAGCAAGAGACGCAGGTGACCTTTGACCTAATTAAAAAAAAACTAACGAAGGCAATTAGCATTTTCTTAGTCTAAACAATGATACCCCAAAATAAATAAATAAAAATAACACTGCAACAGACTGGTGACCCCTTCAAAATAAATATAATTACTTCACTCTATAGTCAGTCATTATATCTATTTTTAAAATAATTAATCAGATATTAGATAATAATTACTTTATTTCACAATTTAACATCATGGGACAGGAAGTGTTATAAATACCTCGGTGTTCAACCAGACAATAGACTCAACTGGAGACAAAACTTTGTGTTTTTTTGAATTGAAGGTTATATATTTGTATCATTTATTACATAAATAAATCAAAGTTACATCTATTTATGTCAAATTGATGTATTTCATATGAAAGGGCTAGGACTGTAGATGTAATAATTATGACTTTAATGGTTAGAAATATAATTTTTCTTTATCAAAATAACAATCTTATGTCTCATACTTACGACTTAATTTATTTTATGTATGACTCGGACCATTGCTAATAGCTTTAACTTTATAATTAAGAGATTTAAAGTTGTAATAACAAGAAATAAAGACCCTTTTGTCTATGAAATTAATAATAATGAGATACAAATTATCTCATAAAGATTTTTTATCTTATATTTATGACCGATAGTCAAATATATGCCTTAATTTCTCACAATTGTGATTCAACAAGTTCAAATTAAGACTTTAAATCTCATACTTACAAGAGACTTTTTAACACTTATTTTGTAGTGATCTCTGTAGTATATCGACGGCCAAAATATAAATATGCTAAATAAATAAATAAATACATTTATTATTTCATCTAATACAGAATTCTCTTTATAATTTCATTACTATTTACACCATGACATTTTTAAATGTACAATCAAATGATCAACTGTCCAATTAAATAATTAAAATAGAAGAATTCCACTTTATTGTCACAAGTACAAAGCAACAAATTTAACTCTGCATTTCACCGATCTCCTTGGGCAGCAGTGGGCTGCTATTGTGCGGCGCCCGGGGAGCAGTTTGGGGCTTAAGGGTCTTGCTCAGGGACCCAGAGTGGCAGACTGTGGCAGTGAGGCTGAAACTCAGAATACTCTGAGTTTCAATTATGAATAAAAAAATACGATTTTATTGAAAATGAATTAAGAAAGAAATATAATCAAGTGATTCTATGTAGTCGGCCTCAGCAGATGGCCGCCCACACTGAGCCTGGTTCTGCTGGAGGTTTCTTCCTGTTCAAAGGGAGTTTTTCCTCTCCACTGTCGCTACAAGCATGCTTAGTGTGAGGGATTGCTGAAGAGTCAATGAGTCGATGCAATCAACTGGTTTTCCTTAGATAGAAAACTTTGAATCAGTTTGACTGGATGATCTGGTGAACTGTAAAGTGCTTTTAAATGACGTGTGTTCTGAATTTGGCGCTATAGAAATAAACTGAATTGAATTTTGGGGTAACAGGGTGAAATGTTTGGGAACCCCTGATCTATAGAAACTGTAGCGATGATGAAAGCAAAGCTCATCACAACCAAAGAAAGTCATTAAATCAGAGTTTAGGAGGGATTTAAACTAGTGTTGCACTGATACCAGTATTGGGCGGGGCCCCGATCCAGCATTTAATTGGTGGTATCGGCGAGTACCAACCAATAGGGCACCGATACCATTTTGAGAACCAAAAGCTTCTTCAACTATTGTCATTTCAGGTAGGCAATAAAAAGTTCTACTGGATTCACTTTGTATTCGTCTTTTTCCTACTTCACAAAGGTAGGCAGCAGCTTGACAAAGCCATGATGGCAATTATTTTACATCCAAGTAGTATGCAGTTCTTCATATTTACACACACACACACATCAATTTCAAACAGATGGTATCGATATGGGCCGATACTACACTTCCCGGTATCGGTATCGTGGCCAAAAAATTTAATCGCCGCAACACTGATTAAAACTAGGGATGCACGATATTGGGTTTTTGGTCGATATCCGATATGCCGATATTTTAAAACTCATGTAGCCGATAACCGATACCGATACCGATGTTAAAGCTGGACAAAAATAAGTAGTCATTGAAAATAGCAGTTTTGTTATCCATTTCTGACACTTTGAAAAATAATATACTCAAATATATTTTCATATGCTGATATCAAATCGATTTTTAAAAACGCGGTATCGATCTATTTTACTTACAAAATCTCGTGAAATTTCATCGTTCTGTTACAAACTCTCGTGATATTTTGCAAATTCTTGTGAGATTTTGTTAGTAAAATAGATCGATACCGCGTCAATATATCAACATATAAAAATATGGCAAAATTTTGTGAATTTTCAGGGGATTTCGTAGCATAATGATGACATATAGCAATATTTCATTAGTAAAAGAGATTGATATGGTGTTTTTAAATGGCAATATATCAGCATATGAAGATATTGTGATATTTTAATGTATCAATATTTTTTCCCTCGTCTTTAGAAGTTTTTAAGTCTGTAAAAAAGAAATTTTTGAGGAAGAAGAAGAAGTAGTATATATTTTTTTTTTTTAGACTTTAGAAACTCAGAAGCTGATCAAATATTGGGTTAAATATCGGTGGGGTGGCCGATGTCCGATATTCAGTTTTAAGGCCGATACCGATAGGGGGCCGATTATATCGTGCATCCCTAGTTGAAACCCGTAAAACTGAGATGCTTTAAATCCAGCCAAACAACACAGCACATGGAAAGTTATAGGGGAATTTAACCAGAGGGCTAGGTTCTAAAAATAATCCCAGGCTCGGGAAAAATCTTTGGGAATCTCACTGGGTATCCTTTATGAAAGGATTGCCCAGATTAAAGCTATTACCAGTGGTGTCAAAAGTACACACATTTGTTACTTTAGTAGAAGTAAAGATACTGTAGTTTGAAAACACTCTGGTAAAAGTTGAAGTATCAACTTGACCTCTTTACTCAAGTAAAAGTGAAAAAGTATGTGCTCCAAAAACTACTTAAAGTATAAAAGTTCAATTCAATTCAATTCAGTTTATTTATATAGCGCCAAATTCACAACACATGTCATCTCAAGGCACTTTACAGTTCAAAGTATAAAGTAACCTTTAAAAAAAAAAAAACAGCCAGATGCCACTACATGAATTAAAAGCTCAATTTTTCAACTATTTCTAAAAATTCTTTGAGATAGGGCGATAATGAGGGAGGTCTTGTTGGTCTCCATCTCCCGATACGCTCTCGCCTGTGTTCGACCTTTCAGACATTTCAACATCTTTTTCTGAATCCTACATTGTAGCATGGCATAGACAATTCACGTTAGCAGTTTAAAGGAATAGTACACCCAAAACATGATTGGAATACATTGGACGAGCAGTATGGAGGAATATTGACACGTTTTTTGTGGACTTTTATGGACCTTTCTGCCTCGGGCGCCATAGACCTCCATTATTTGAATGTCAGCAGACAGCAAGAAGCCTCCCAGATCTCCAGATGCATTTGAGATATCAAAAAAGTACTCCAGAGTGTTGTTCAGCATGGGGGTGAGTAGAAAATGAAGGCTAATCATGTTTTGGGTGTACTATTCCTTTAAAGAACACCTGCTTGCTTCTGATGATTTCCTTTAGCTAACCAATGAGTGTTTGCGTTCTATGACTCATCCAATCACACTAGTTTTCACTAGATGTGGGTGGAGCCAATGATCTGCATTGGATGGAGCACATGACGGGAAATAAATATTTATAAACATTAAACCGAAGCCAAGAGTAACGTTTGTTTAAAACATGTAAGAAATAGAAAGTACAGATACTTGTGTGAAAATGCAATGAGTAGAAGTAAGAAGTAGGAAGAAAAATAAGTAATGGAGTAAAGTATAAATACCTAAAAAGTGTACTTAAGTACAGTAATTAAGTATTTGTACTTTGTTACTTGAAACCTCTGGCTATTGCTAGAAGGAAGCCAGAAAGAGAAATGACACTATTTTGCCCACAACGCTGTGTAATAAAAAAAAACAACAACAACAACAAAAAACACCACCATGCCAACACAAAACATAGAGGTGGCAGGATCATGCTGTGGGTGTGCTTTTTTTTTAACAGGGTTAAGGGAGGAGAATGAATGGAGCAAATTAGGAAAACTGACAATCACAGACTTCCATTTATTTCCCACTTAATCTGGTGATGTTTAGCAAAGAAGAGCACGCAACAATCTCTAATTTTAGATGCCATGCTATCAAACAACTGCAGTAGGATGTCCAATAATGGGTGACCCAAAAAGGCACATATTCCTTAAAAACAAATCTTTTTTCAGTCCACTTTGCATCGATGACACATAAACACGCCAATAGATTGACGGTCTAGACTCTTAACTGGACAAGATGATTCCTAATTAATCAATAAGAAGATTGATTAGGAATAAACTTCTACAGACAGCAGTGGCTGAGGTACCTCTCTCCCACCGAGTCGAGCTTCAGGCACTTGATGGCCACGGTGGTTCTCCAGTCGGAGTGCTGCGCCTTGAACACGGTGCCGAAGCCCCCCCTGCTCAGGTAGTAAAGGTCCGTCAGCTTCTGGTAAGGGATCGCAGGCAAAGTGCTCGTCAGGGTCCCGATGTTCACGCAGCCCACGGCACCATGCCGCTCCATAGCAGTCTCTGATGTTCGGAGTGGACGGACTGATAAGATAAACAGCAGAACTGCCTGTTTCGGTCAAACGCAATGAGGAACTATCCCATTTACCCGAAACTAACGCTAGCGAGGGGGGTTAAGCTAGCTGGGAGGCTGAAGGAGAGGAGCCA